GAACGTAAACTTAAAGCAGCAGCTTTACTCACTGAGAAAAATCCTCCATAAAGTAACTTTACAAAAACCAAACCAAAACCCTGAACATGGAAACTAGAATCACTAGAAAATGAGGCAAACAGAACTAAGAATGATAGAAACCAGAAGCACAGCGAAACCTACAGCACATGGGATGGTACAATGCAACAACGGACAGAGGACAACACAGGGCTTAAACACACAAGGGAGTAACGAGGGAAACACAGCTGGGTCTAATCTGACATAACAAGACAGGGAGGAAACAAACCTGAATGCACTGAACACAGGACAAGGAACTATCAAAATAAAACAGGAAACATGAAACCGTCACAAAGACGCAGACTAGACACTGTGAAGTGGAGACGTGACTGATGAGGGGAACAAAGGGAACATGAAACACGGAGACGAGAGTAAGTAAATGTGGAACAGAGGGAAGATACAGTGAACTAGAAACTATAAAAACAACACAAGCAGAAAACAATAAACAAAACCAAACCCATGAAAAACAATAAATCAAAGAAAATAACTTCAACCGTGACAGTATTATTTGTCTTATGGATTCTATCTTTAAAAACAAGTCTGGAGTCTGTTACAGATCTAAATGGTATTTAGCTGAGATCCATGTGGCAGTATGACCCATGCTTTAGCTTCCAACAGCAACCATAAAAAGAACTGAACGTTGAGTTTACAAGCTACACATGAATGCAGCATGAGTCCAGTACAGAGGGGGGCAGCTATGCAGTGCGAGAAGAGTCCCACTTCTAATATCAATGTGTTGTTTACGAAAACAAACATCACCTGCTAGTCATCTCCTTTTTGACTCATGCCTGTGGCCTCATATCACAAACCATCAGCACAATATTCAGCTCTGTGCTGCACGATATAATGACAACACTCAAAACACTTTATTGGCCCTCCAACAGAATGTACAATGCTGCAAAGGATTGTAGACAAATCATTTCAGGACCCCTTTGCTGCTTTACAGGAATAACCCCCTCCTATTGATTTATTTTGTACATTTTGTGCCTCAGTGCTCCCCGTGACTGATTCTTTGTAGGAAACAGCCCTCTGGTTACCATAAGGTTGCATCATGAGATGAAAATAGGGAGGCGCCGTTTCCCCAGGCTGTTTCTGATCTCTCCACTAGCACTCCTCACATGCCTAATAAGTGTCCTGCTTTGGAGATATTACTGTCCTACAGAAGCTACACAGGGTGTGGCTGTCAAAGAGGGGGCCCAAGACCACCGTAGCAGGCGGGGATTTCATTAGCTTCCCTTTGCAGTAGTGATTGAACTAGACAGAATATCAGGGCTTAGTCAGACTTCTAACTATAGCAGAATGAATTTGAGAGGTGAGCTCAAAACCAGAACCCGGCTTAGGTAGAGGCAGCCATATTACTTTAAGGCTGGACAATGTAATTCTGACTGTAATTCAGGCTGTTCTAAAAGTTCCTTGAAAAGTCTTCAGTTGGCCAAAAATGCCAAATCACAGTTACTAACATGTACCAGAAACAAATAACGAGAGGTTGTATTTTCCTCATATTAGTGCCTCTTTGTTGACGCCCTGTTAAGTTCACACTGTTGGCCTACTTGTGGTTCCCAGAGTTTCTAACCAGCTTCCAGTTTGGATTTGGGAAACAGAGCTGTGCTCTTTTCTTTCAAGATTACACTTCAAACTTTCCCTTTTGATAAAGCTCAGAGTTTGGGCTGGATCAGGTGACCATGAACCATCCCTTAGCACAGGGTCAGACTGCTGGGGGACTTTGCCTGACGTTACATGATGGGTGTCACAAAAGATCTTTTAGCTCAGTGATTCCAAATATCAAGTCTCCAGTTAGTTGTCTGACCCAAAGGTGGCCAGTGGTTTGGAAAAACATGGAAATCTGTCATCCAACATTAAATATTATGTAAGTATTGTGCCCCTAGTCTGGTTGTGATCTTTGAGCTTTATTTTGACACAATGAGCACTTTCTTTTGGTTGAACTATTTTAAGCACATTGTAACTGTTTTGTAAAGTGCTGTACAAATGAATGTTTTATTCTGATGCACTTACTCTTCACTCGCCTCTTTTCCCTCCTCAAACATATAATATACTACTGTGAGTCATTAACGTTTGTCTTCTCTCTCCTGTAGTTTCAGTTTAATCCTCTTTGGTCTTCATAGCCTCACTATGCTCCTCTTTGCATCCTCCTTTCTTGTCCTTCATCTTCCACTTGAGGTCGCTTGTTAAAAGGGAGTTCTTCCTCCCCACAGTCACCAAGTGTTTGCTTATAGGGAAACATTGGATCATGGGTTTCTCATCATGTAAACATATAAAGTACCTTGAAATTCAATAAAAGAAACTCTTCAATAGACACACTTTTATTATTTCAAAGGAATAAAGGAATGGTACAGAAAGTAAAAAAGGTTAGCAGATTGCTTAACTTCACTGAATATGGAAAACAGTTGACATTAAAAGGAGCAAAATGTGTCTTTTGCTCAAAAGCAGGCAATACGTTAAACATAAACGGCACAATATACAGCTAAAAAGACTCAAATCAGTGCATTTACTACGAACATTAAAAATTACACAAAATTATTTTAGGCAACTTGTGCAAATATCTCCACAGATTTTAAAAGGAACTACACAAACAGATAAAGAGCTAAGTCTTTGGTGTGGAGATGCTGCGCTAGGTTCTGAATCCGACAAAGGCGTACGTTCTGAGCATCTCCAGTGCTGTACACTCTGTATATGTGGTATCGTTCCTTTTCCTTCAGTGCAAAGTCCAGCTCGTTGGCAGACATGTGGATAAATGACTTCTCTTTCTTTATAGTCGACTTCACCTCCACATACACCACCTCGGGCTCTCCTGTGGATCCGAAGGTGAGCTTAAAGTCGTATGGCTGACCGGTCTCCCCGCTCTGATTGCACCACATGATGTGCGTGGGTCGTCCAGGGTCGCTGCTGTCTCTCCAGTGGCACAGGAAGGAGTTGACCAGCTGCTCCCCCCATTCGCCGATCGCTGCCACATCTATCTCGTCTTCTGATAAGACCACCTACAAAACAGAGGAGCTATTAAGAAAAACTTGATAACCAGCGACTAGGAAACCAAAGCTTGCAGTCGGTATACTGACGGTGGTGGGTCTTTGGCAGGTGAGCTCCATGTCTTCAAGTGTGGCCTGGGTTTTGTTCCAGTGAGGAAAGTCCAGGTTCAGAGGAGGACGGATCTCTGCAGCAGCTGCTGCAGTCCCCTGGAAAGTACTAGAAAGCACCACAGCCTCAGGT